TCGCTCCATTTCTATCTTTTGTAATAAATTAAGTAATAGTGGATGTAGATCTTCTTTAAATGTTTGATAGAATTCTGCTGTAAATCCATCTGGTCCTGGGCTTTTTTTAGTCGGGAGGTTTTGTATTACCATTTCTATTTCTTTTAGTGTTACGGGTCTGTTTAAGCTGTTAATCTCTTCTTGGTTTAGTTTTGGTGGTTCCCATGCCTTTAGATATCCATCCATTTCTTTTAGGTTTTCAAATTTTAGTAGCATATAGGTTTTTAAAGTATTCCCTTATAAAGCTCTGCATCTTTCTGGTGTGTGTTGTGATGTTTCCCCTTTCATCTCTGATTTTCTTGATTTGGAGGTGCTCTTTATTTATTTTGGTTAACTGGGTTAGTGGTCTGTCAATCTTGTTTATCTTTTCAAAGAACCAGCTCTTGAATTCACGGATTCTTTGTTTTCTTTGTTTCAATTTCATTAATTTCTGCCCCAATTTTTGTTATATCTTCTTGTCTGCTGGGTTTGGGTTTCGCTTGTTGTTGCTTTTCAAGTGTCTTGAGTTGCAATGTTAAGTCATTTATTTGTGTTCTTTCGATTTTTTAATACAATCTTGTTTATCTTTTCAAAGAACCAGCTCTTGAATTCACGGATTCTTTGTTTTCTTTGTTTCAATTTCATTAATTTCTGCCCCAATTTTTGTTATATCTTCTTGTCTGCTGGGTTTGGGTTTCGCTTGTTGTTGCTTTTCAAGTGTCTTGAGTTGCAATGTTAAGTCATTTATTTGTGTTCTTTCGATTTTTTAATATAGGCACTTAGAACTATAAACTTCCCTCTAAGGACAGCTTTCAGCGTGTCCCAGAGGTTTTTTTGTGCTGTATTGTCCTTTTCATTTAATTCCAGGAATACTTTTATTTCTTTCTTAATTTCTCTTTTGATCTATTCATCATTCAGGAGTCTGTTGTTTAAGCTCCATGTGTTCATGTAGTTACTTGGGTTTCTTCTGGTGCTGATTTTAAGCTTTATTGCATTATGGTCTGATAGAATACATGGACTT